CTTGCCTGCTGCTTTTCTCAGGAGTGTATTTCAGTCTGTCTGCCTGTTCTGCTCCCCACTCTGTCTGGTGAATCTTCTGACCCTCCTGCATATCTGGCCTGTACCCTGGTTCTTGTACGCATAAATAAATAAATCTTGGGTCTCCCCTGGTGGCGCAGCGGTTGAGTGCTGGGCTGCGAAGCTGCCCATAGCCTCTGAAGCGCCGGTTCAATCCACGGCCGCTGGCGAGGGTCCCACATGGCGGGACAGACCTCTCCCGCCACTCCTGCTGCTCCCTTCAGCAGTGTATTTTGTCGGTCTGCCTGCTCTGTTCCCTCTCTGGCTCTGGTGAATTCTCTCACCCTCCTGTGCTTCTGACTGTACACAGTGCTTGTGTAAACAAACAAACAAGCAAGCAAATAAATAAATAAATAATAAATAAATAAATCTTTAAAACAAATCTTAAAAATAAAAATAAAATGACCAAAACTATCCCTCCTGCAGCTGGGAGGTGCACCCCCAAGCTCTCAGGGATTAGGTGGGCAGACCTGACAATTCAGCAGGATCCTGACCTCCCGTGGAGGACTGTCCCTGTGCCTGGATGGCCAGGCTCCAATTTGCTTCTCATTCACACAGTGACAAATCTCAATATGTGACAGGTGACCTCCTCAGTCTCCCAGGTGGCATTTAACCATGTCTCAGCAGCAGGGCAGTGGAGCTGCTTCCTTCAGGAATCCCAGGACCACTGCTCATCCTGCATCCCGGATCCCCTGACCTAGCTCAGCTCTGCTGTGACACGGTGGGCTCAGGAGCAGGGTCTTCTCCCAACTCTGCCTCCCTGAACTGACCTGCAGGGTTCACAGTCAGGGGCCCCTGCTCTTTCTCCCAGTGCTCCTTCTCCTCATTCACCTCTGCTCAGCCCTTGGCCTCTTGTCTCTGTCCTTGGTGCAGTAGCCACCACCACCCAATGTGGGCCCTGACACAGCAGCCAGAACCAAAACAGGCAGCCCTGAGTGCTGTGTCCACTGGAACCACATGCATCACCACAGAGCACCCTGGGAGCTGTGCAAGCTGGCCCAGGTAGGTCCTGCCAGCTCCACCTGTGAAGAGGCCTGTTCCATGGGGAATCTGAGTCACTATGAGTAGTGAAGACTAAGAATCATCCTTGCAGCCAGAGTTTCTGGATCAGGGAATCAGCCCCTGAATAGTAGCTTCTGAATCTGCTCCTGGACAGGGCACGGACTAGTGCTGCAGCCACTGTGTGGAGCAGCCACCAGTGGCAGCAAAGAGTCACCTGACCAAGGCACCTGGAGAGGGGTGTTCTGGGCAGCAGGGTGTCTAACAGGCAGCGGGTGTTTGTAACCAAGTTCTCTGCTGAAGGGAAAGTGGTAGGTTTTTCTAGTATCCCTGGCACAGATGCACAACTTCTGTCTACATGGCTCTGATCTAAATGTTGTGAAAACTGCTTGCTTTTCCAACAGATGCAGACCTCTCAAATCCCCACACACATTTGTCATCTTCAAATAAAGTCACCGTCCACATGCCGTCCTCCCAGTGCCCACAGGTTCCCCTCCCTCGTCCAGGCCCTAGAGCCTGTTGTCTAGCTAAGAGGGTAATTGTCATCAATCCATGTCTCTCTCTAGAAAACCCATGAGCTGTGTTTCTCCTTTTCATTCCAATCCAGTAACACCCTTACCTTCTCCTAACCTTTATCTACTAAATAGACAATTATTTTTATTTCCTAGTGCAACCTCTCTAGAACTGATGGGAGATAACATACAGTCAGATTTTATTTTTCTAAACTCAGTTATTTATTTGGAGATGAGTAAATTACCCAGATCACGCACCTAGTTGCATGCAAATCACCTTCTTTAAACATCATGCCTACATAGAGGATCCCTTGGGCTGAGTGGGGATCTATAGGAAACACGACTCACCTCTTTTTTCTGTGGGGGCTGAACCTTCTCTGAAATCACAGAGCTCCTCAAGCAGCTGCCTGAGCCTGACTGATTTGCATACCCAGCAGCTCTCTCCAGCAAGGGGATAGATAGGACTAGGGGGGAACCTGCCCAGCCTCAGCCTCAGGGAACAGGATCAGGGACCCCATAATGGCCTGTACCCCTCTCCTCCTGGGCCTCCTAGCTCACTGCACAGGTACCTTACCCAGGTTCACTGGGACAAGACTGTTTCTGACTCTGAGCTCAGCAGGGGCTGCCTTGGGGGCAGATGTCTCATGAGACCCCCCACAGTGCTCACTGTTCTGTGTGAGCCTCATCAGCTATGCCTGCAAACAGAAAGTGGGAGGGTGTCACATGCTCAAATCCTCCATGTGTCTATATCCTATGGTTCCCTGTGGCTGTGACTAGTGGAACAGGGACCCCAGGGCCTGAGAAACATTAAGTCGGACCCTGGCCGAGGACAAGGTTGATTACTACCGTTCGGTGTGGGTAGATGATGGTAAACAACTACAGTGACATGGGGCCATGGGGAAGTGAGACACAATCACCTGCTCCATCTAGGTTACTTTCCCCCACCCACCCACACACTCTCCTCCAGCCCCAGGGGATGGAAACACAGCCCTGAACAGCTCTGGCCTGGTCCCAGATCTGAGGCACCCAGGGTCCCCCTACTACATCCTCTCGGGGCTTTTATTGTGTGTGTAAGGTGTGATTTAGGGCTCAGGGCCAGGTTGTCCTGATGTTTTCTGTGATCTGAGGAAACTGGAATGAGTTGAAGGACAGAGAAGGCAAAACTTTTGGTCTTTGTGTCAAAAGAAAAACTGATCGTTTAAGAAATGTTAACAATTTTTCAACAAAATTACATTTCAATGATTAGCACAAATAAAGCAGTTACTCCACACAGGGGAACTGAGGAGAGACTTATGGAGAAGAGGCAGAAGAAAAAAACGAGGATATTTGGTGGCGTAGATGAGAGCGGTGCTTTGAGGGGAAGATCTGTGGCTTTTGTGACTGTCATGATTTCACTATATTCCAAGACGTGAGTGGAGGAGAGTGAGGAAAACTGCTCAGTGGAGACACAGAACATACCTGGCAAAGGATCAAACTGAACTTCTTGAAGTAAAACCACAGTAACTGACGTCAGTTAAATAATACTGTGGCTGGAGTAACAACAGATCATATTACCAGTGAAGAGTGAAAATGATGGAAAAGCTGTAGAAAATATTCCAAAATGAAATACAGAAAATGCAATAAATGACCAGATTATCCCTGAGTTATGGGGCTAATTCAGATGATTGTGTGTAATTGGAGGTGATAAGGAGAGAAGGTTGGGGGTGTGTGAGTAGAACAATTCTTGGAAGAAAAAAATGGCTAAAAATATTCAGAATTTGGTGAAAACAATAAAGCACAAACCCAAGAATTTAGAAAACCTTCAGCAACAGAAAATGAGGAAAAGAGAAAGTCACTTCTCATAATGAAATAGGGGAGTGGGAGTAATGCCAGGTGACACATGCAGCAAGAATTGGGTGTCTCTTCCCCCAGTAAATCCCTGCCTCCCCCTCCAGCTCCAAGGAATAGCTCACCTCCCTGCTCTTAGCTGCCTGGCAACTGCTGTCAAACTCTTTATCACAAAATTGTCCTTCACTATTCTATTACAAAGTCCCATCCCCATGGATCCACCCACATGAACAACCCAGTGAGATAATCTACTGAATATTCTCACAGTAAATTCTTTAGCACAGGTCACCCTTGGTAATCCCTGAGCACAAAGTCACCTCTCCTGACACGTCAGTCACATGGAAACTCACTTCTGTGACATCAATAGTGAGCACAGGACCCAAGAAACTAATGATGACTCTTCACAGTCATGCTGACAACTCACATGGAAATGAACGAACGTTCTGTGGGACAGGACAGGACCTTGGAGACCATGGGTATGGAGCCCCACTGTGACCCCAGTCACACTGTGACCACAGATGGGCCAGATACTCAGGGCCATAGAGGACAGTTTGCTTTCTGACACTGGAGGGGAGGGAAGTACATGGCAGTAGGTTCAAGCCGGAAGCTGGTGATGCCAGGGACTGAAGGTTCTGGAAGGAGCAACTGCTGATGCCCTGAGAGCAGAGATCTTGGGGCAATAGTGTCCTTTTCAGGAATTATGCTCAGTGAAATAAGTCAAAAAGAAAAAGAAAAAATATTGGATGTTTTCCCGTATAGCAGGAATATAGGGAAACCAAATAAGACATCAGTGCAAAAAAATAATAACAGTACGAACATAACAAAGCAAAAGAGACAATTATAAATCAGAGCCATATTATAGGGGAGGGGGAAGGAGAGGGATCAGAGGGAGGGAGGGAGGAGCACAGGGGACTGAGGTGATGGTGCACAGGTGCCTTGGTGAAAGAAACTGGGACTACACTTGGGGGGGTAGGGGGAAGCAAATATTGTTTTAAGATGAACAATGATGTAAAAAATAAAAAAAAAAACTAAAAATAAAAAAAAATCACAATAAGTTACCATTTTCAAACTTAAAAAAAAAAAAAGTGTCCTTTTTAGGGCTGCAGTAACAGAGAACCACACACCAATGGCTGACAAGAGAGACACATTGACACATTCCTGAAGAGAATATCTGATCAAGCTATTGGAAGGGTTAGTTTTCTGTTTTGTTTTGTTCAGATTTTTGTGGACTCTGAGGGAAATCTTTTCCGTGCCTCTGTTCAGCTCTTGCTATTTTGCTGTGGTTCCTCAGCTTGTAGATTCTGCTCATGCCTCACATGGCATCTCCCTGTAAGCAGCTGCATCCAGATGTCCCAAACCTATAAAGACCAGGAAAACCAGAAATCTAGTCCACCCAATTGAACTCCCAACACTGTCTCCTCCATGGTCACAACCCCCCTCTCCTTGGGGACACTGCAGGTGGAGGTTACACCACCAAGCTCTCAACATCAATCATGTGGGCAGTATTGAAGGCCCACAAGGACCCTAACCCTCCCTAAATGACTGTCCCTGGCTCCATCCTGCTGTCTCATCATCACACAGTAACAAAATCTCTGACAGGTGACAAGGTGGCCTCTGGGGCCTCCCATCAGGACATAAGTGAGACAAACCCATGGTCACCTGTCTCCGTGGGGGAGGGGACTCCTCAGCTGCTTCCTGGAGGAGCCCTCAGGACACTCACTGCTCTCTTCTCCATCTGCAGTTCCTGGTCTCCGGCCAGCTCAGCTCTGCTGTGCCCTTGGATCCCTCAGAGCCTCTGACGCCCTCTGCCCTTCTGTGGCCCAACTGGGAAGGATCAGAATCAGGTGACTCTGCTACCTGTACCTCAGCTCCCATTGCCTCAGTGACACCAGCCCATGCTGCGCCCCCTAGGCCACACTTGCCCAGCTGGCAGGGGGCAGAGGACACACACTAGCTCAGCCTAGGGCAGGGCAGGGGTGCAGATTCTGCAGGACGAGGGACACATGCTCAGAATGGGGTGGTCACAATGGGGAAGAAAGTACACGCCTCACAGAATCTGGACAAGTATGAGGCAGTTGTGCCATGATCCTGCCCTTGGACATAAAGGCCTATTGACAGGTCTGTGGCCTGGGAGGGTGTTACTCCTGCTGTCTATAGCTTTTGTTGGTCTGTGCAAGTGAGTGTGTGAGTGTGTGTGTGTGCTTGTCTTTGTGTGTACAGTTTTGTATTGGTAAGTGGAAACCATGTCAGTCTCTCATATCCAGAATTTTACTTTCTTCCATCTTCAGTGTCTTTGCTTTTTATTAGATTAGTTATGGAAGGATGTTAATAGAAGGAGGAAAAGAAATACTTTTGTACTTAATGCATATCAAGAACCATTCAAAGCACTGCATATTCATTAAGGACTTCAGTGACAATCCCTAAGAGTAAGTGCTCTCATTTCACCTGTTTCACTGATTGGAAAACTGAGGCACAGAGCGATGTGCAAGATACATGAACTCAGATCTAGGAAACAACTGATCGCACAGCAGATTCTCTGGCCCCAGAGTGCCCGCTCCTCACCACCAACCTGTCAGCTCTGCTTGTGCTTTCAGAGCTGAGACACCGTCTCTCCTTAATGTCTGGTGGGGTCTTTGCCTTTCAAAGCCAAGTGACTGATGGTGTGATTCACTGGGTACCTCAACTAATGTAACTAATATGTAAACCACATATGTAAATTAAATATTCCAGTTTGTTCAAATTTAATTTTAAAAATTACAGAATGATATGCAAGTAGTTTATATTATATTTTAATTCAATCAAATAAATTATTTCCATAAGTATTCAATTGCGCATATACTGTATTTTACATTATTTTATACTAGGTCTCCTAAATAAGGTGGGGATTTCAGAAGTATATGTAGCACATCTCTCCAGAGACTGCCCACATTTCATGCTCCGCAGTGACCTGTGGCTTTAGACCACAACACGACAGAGCAGGTGGAGGGCTGAGTTTTCCTGAGACAACAGGCCCTGCAGCTGTGCATGCAGACACAGGAGCGATGGAGAAGCCACGAAGCAGAGGCCTCAGTAGGGGAAGGACAGCTCCACTCTCAGGCAAACCAGGATACAGACCCACTCAGAACGGGGGAATCGTTGTCACATGTGTCCACACTAATCTCATTCTCAAAGAAAAGACATTGAATATAGTGACAATTTTAAAGATGAGTGTCCGCCATCCAACACAGCTGTATTATGAGTCAGTGTAAGGACCGACAAATGACCGTGTGAAAAACTCACGTGTTACAAGAATCCCTTTCAGAGAGAAGGTCATTTCTGTGAATCTCGTGACAAATCATAAAGTTGTATTTTAGAATAGACCTAGATGGTGGCTGATCATCAGGAAATGTTATGAAGTCGGATGACTTGTCATTCTCCATACAGAGATCTTACCGAGTTCCCAAGCTCAGGTCACTTTGCAAAAGTCCATTCTCCCAGGATGGTGCTAACAACTCACCACACACTACGCTGAGACCCAGATGGGAAGGTGTGAGGACTGGTCCTGAGGAGCCAGAGCCCCTGGAGACTCTGAGGGACACATGGAGGAGAGGAGGCTTCAGGGGAAGGATTGTGTGGGGCGCTCAGCTGGGAGCAGGTTGGACGGGCCTGAGGCCGTGGCCCTGTCCAGTCTCAGTCACCTCTTCACACACAACTGGGAGGGGCAGCATGTCAGGGGTGTCTGTGCCCAGGGGCTATAGGGGCCTCTCAGGGGGTCCAGGTGCAGCATCTCAGCATGTGTCAGTGAGTCACATTGTACATTTTCAGCAGCAGGAGCAGGAGGACAAATACATTTGTTTAAGACCTTAGAGGAACGTGCATTTCTCAGACTGTATATTAAAAACAAATGGTTTCTGTTCCTACTAACAGTTCTCCAAATGCCCTGGCCTTGACAAGTAAGAAAAGGAGTCTTGGTCCTAACTTCTTGGGAAAGGAGCCTGACACTCGGAGCCCTACTAGGCAGTTCAGGTCTTCGTGTCCCACCCACCCAGCATCTGGGTTGTCTGCCCCAGAGGGAGCAGGTAGAGTGTCCCCACCTCTGTGCACAGACAGACTCAGACTTAACAGGAAATCAGACTCCAGCACTGTGAACATCTCAGTGTACACTGAAAGATGCGGGGAGGACAGACTCCTGAATACAGAAAGTAGAGTCCTGTTAGGAAGGCCCTGGAGGACTGCAAAAAGGGAAAAGGGAAGACCTGGGGCTCCATGAGGAGCAGGGCAGGAGGGTGAATAAAGTGCTCTGAGGGTGGGAATTCTAGCCCATCATCATGGTCTTCATTGTTTAGAGAAGATCACTTACTCTCTCCCTGTTTCCTCGTTTAGTTGACACGAGTGGAGGCTGCCATGGGTTATTACAAGTGTCTGGTGAGGGGGCCCATGTCACACTCACCCAGGGCCTGGTCTCCATCAGGGTCAGAAGCAGTCATGCTGGTGACTGTCAGCACATGCAGGATGACATTCATCCTGGGCACCAGGGGGCGCTGTGGTCCTGGTTTGGAGACCAAATTAGTCCAAGACACTGGGCATGACTAATTCTCCCTTTGAAGACACTCAGCTGTAAAAATCAACTTCCAAACTGAAACCCACACCTGCCATTCTTCTAAATTCAAGAAATCACCAGCTTGAGGCCCTTAACTCAGGGCTCAGACAAGACTGAGACACACACCCCAGGGACTGGAGAAGATTTGCATTGGCTGCCCCACCTCCTGGAGCTGCAGGCAGGAGGAAAAGACAGGAGCCTGGAGAGGCCAGTGCTGCTGGGCAGCCTCAGGGCAGAGGTTTCCAGAAGCTCTTGCTGAATTTGCTGCAATGCTGGTTATTGGAACTACATCACAAAAAAGTGAAAGGTAAACTTACTTATGTCACAAGTGCACAACTCAGACCAAGTTTCTCACCAGAGAGATACATTATAGTCCTTATTTTATTTCATAAAAACACACCTTGTGCAGATGATGTTTTACAAGATTGTGAAGACTCCCTCCCAGCTGTGATCTTGGGTGACGGTCAAGGGGGCAGGTTCCTGTAGCTCCAGGAAATGCCTCTTCAGAGCCCTGAGTGGGGCTGTGTCTCTGGCTGAGTCTGCTCAGCAGGTGAGGCACTGCCTTAGAAAGGTCACCTCAGAGGCCCCGGATAATGTACAAATGTCAATGGTGCACATTTCTACAATGAAAAACCAGAGATTTCCTCCTCATACTCTACTGACAAGCTCCAAGAGGACATGGAAGTTGTGGGAAGAGATCACAGGGGGTTGGTGGACTCAACTGCTACTCAAAGAGGCATCCACACTGATGACAGATTATTACAGTTTCATCTTTTACCAGCTACTGGTACAAGAGCACGGGATTGAGGAGATTTTCTGCGTTGCATCACAGGACCTGGCATTTCCTGTGCAGGAAATTTCCAGGACAAAGGTCATTCCAGTAATATCAGTCTGGAGGACTTTTTCCTGGGGTTTCTAATCAGTCCCAGAGAGCACTGGGAACAACCCCCATGCACCTAAGCTGCCCTGGTGAAGAGCAATGGCGCCCCCTCAGGCTGCTGGCAGAACTTTCAGGGAGAACCTGTCTCCACTAGAGGACCCCAGACAAGGCTATTTGCCCCCATTTTGCCTTCCCCAACCCTGCCTGATTTTGCTACACACAGAAGAGGGTGTCATTTCTGACCTTAGACCTCCCAGGTGTAGCTCTCTCCAATTCCCCAAAGTTGTCCTAGAGAATGTCATTCACCTTCTCTAGTTCTTTTCCCTCCCCTGTCAAATGTCCTTGGGTGTCAGCTAGAGTGGCCAACAGTCACCCTGTGGGACCCAAGTGAGATGAGCCAGGAACAGAGGCACAGGCAGCACCTTAGCCCCCAGGCAGCACCTTTGCCCCCAGCTAGATGCCTGGAAGGTGAAGGTGCAGGTAGAGGATAGTAACCATTACTTTGTCTTCAGCCCCCAGGTCACCTGGGAGGGGCCCAGGTCTGGATTTATGGGTCACATCTGCCCCACCCAGCAGCCTAGACACAGAGGCCCCCTAAATACTGTGCTGGTGCCAGAGGTCCTGATGATTACCTGGAAAGTCCACCCACTCTGCTGATATCACTTGATCCTTCCTCCAAGGATCTTAGGTGAAAGTGTCACAGAGGAAGTGAACTATCATTGAGTCACAGACTCCTGCCATCATCACTGTCTTTTACATTAGACAAACCAGAACTTTCCCTGTTACAGACAAAGGGACTCACGGGCTTTCTATACAAGTCATCAGTATGACACAGGATTTTGTAGAAAAAAAATTATTGAGATTTGACAGGGAGCTACATCAGTCCAGAAATTTTCTTCATCTGAACATAATGTCATTGACTAGAAGTGATATTTTCATGTTTTGGGACAAAGGTAGACTTCTTGGTTTTTATGTATTTATTTATGCTTACGAGAGCTGGGTGTAGGTGAGAGGTGCAGGGGCATGAGAGGGGTCATCAGAGACACAGCGTGGAGCAGAACAGGCAGATCTACTGAAATACACTGTGAGGGGAGAAGGGGACAAGACAGGAGAGGTCTGCTGAGTCAGGTGGGTAGCTCCCTGGCCAGGGATCGCACTCATGCTGCGATGGCTGCAGATTGCTTCATAGTGCTGAAACCTAATCCCTTGTGCTACCAAGGAGGACCCCTCATGGTCTTTCTATTCTGGCACTGGCAACAGAGTCCAGCTTAGAGATGAAGAACGACACACGGGGAGGATGTGGTGAGGACTGTCACAGCATCTGCAACCACATGTGTCTACTGGCATCTCTCTGGGCAGGCCCTGTCACAGCAGAGCTCAGCTGATGTGTGCCCCACCCACAGTATGGGAAACTCCTAGGAACAGAGAGGGTACGTGCTCATGCCATATGCCCAGGACAGAATGTATGCAAGAGCAAAGTGGCTGTCATGGGCATTACTAGGGAAATGTTCCTCTGTCTCTGTCTTGGGTGCATCATCACCATGGCCCCATGATAGCACTGCACACAGCAGGCACCATCCCCAACTCTCCCCACACCAAAACCTCATTGTAATCCTGTGACCATTCACAACCTCATGGGTATGCGCTGGGTGTCTCAGGAGGGCACAGCCCCTTCCTCTATCAAATGGTGCTGTTCATGTTTGTTTTCAGCTGTGACCCTCCGAAGGCCCTATGCCTAGTCTTGAAGAAAACAGGGGCCAAATAGAGAGGGTAATTCACCTGTGGGCCAGCACTTCATAGCTCAGGGAATCGCCTCCTGAATCAGATTCTGAATCCCAACCTGAACAAATGAAGCCTCTGTGCCAGCTGCACACAGTTTAGGCAGCCACCAGGGGGCAGCAGAGAGCCACCCTCAGCAGGGTTGAAGCCTCCCTGCAGCTTGTGACATGGGGAGCATCAGTCACCAGGAGCTAACACCTGAGTGAACGGGGGTCATTTTTCTACAGTGTCACTCTTTTTTTTTTTTAAGATTCATTTATTCATGCATGCAAGAACTGGGTAAGCCCGGACACGTGGGAGGGTGAGAGGATTCACAAGAGACAGAGTGGGGAATTGAACAGGCACACTGATGAAATACACTGCTGAGCGGAGCAGCAGGTGAGACAGGAGAGGTCTGCTGTGCCATGTGGGATTCTTGCTGGTCAGCCGGGACTGAACTTGTGCTGCAGAGGCTGAGGAAAGCTTCACAGCGCAGCGCTCCACACCTGTGCGACCATGGGAGGCCTATAGTGTCACTCTTGACAATCATGTTCTCATTGCAGACTCCATAGCCTCAGTCTGAGGCTTGGAGAAATTGTCTTGTTTCTCTGGCACTTATTCTGATATTTCATTCCTTCACACACAGACCAGTCCTGCTAAAGTGGCCTCACTGTCCAGAACCTAGATGAGTGCCTGGACACAGCAGGTGTCTGATAAACTTATGTTGACTTGATTACAAAAGAAGACAGCTTGTTACTTAATACCTCACCTCATCAACAAAACACAATTAGCGTGAACTCATAGGGGTGCTGCTCTTAGAGTCCTTTCCAGGCCTCACTCTCACGCAGCATTTCTGGACCCGTGATGTCTCTGTGACCTGAGTGCACACGTGGATACTGAGGCACAGCCCCTGTGCCTGTCCCAGCTGCTCAAACCAGAACAAACGACAGGCCTCAAAAATTTCTGGGTAGGCAATTGAAGGATTTTATGCAGGATCTGCTGCTCAGAAGCTGTGAGGACAGGGGGAGGACCTGGACCTATCTAAGCCTGGGAATGTCACCTGTAGAACAGGATCAGAACACACAGGCTTCCACGGAATCTGCTGTAGAAGGGCCTGTCCAGAGAGAGGCCAGGACAGAGCCTAGGGGAGGAGATTCAAGGAGACCATGAGACCAGAAGAGCAGGAGGGCCCCTAAGCTGAATGTGGGGACTCTAGAAAATACCCCTCCCCTCTCTGTGTCTGGGGCTGACAACACAAAGCTCCCCAAACAGCAGCCTGGCCCTGGCTGATTTGCATACCCAGCAGCTTTCTCCAGCAAGGGGATAAGACAGGCCTGGGGGTTGTCCTGCCCAGCCTCAGCCTCAGGGAGCAGAATGAGGGATCCTACCATGGCCTGGACCCCTCTCCTTCTGGGCCTCCTGGCTCATTTCACAGGTGCTGAGCCAGACTCACAGCCCCCCAGGTTCAAGGCTCTGGAACAAGACTGGTTCTAACTCTGAGCTCAGCAGGGGCTGCCTGTGGGGCAGGATGCTTTTGATCTGCTCATGATGGGGGGCTGGATTGGGTAGACACCTACTATACACATTTATTGGTGTGAGCCTGTGGGCCTGTACCCGCCAAGAGAAGAGGAGTGTGTGGAGTTCTTTCATTTGCCCAAAATGCCACACATCGGCCAGGCTTATGGGAAGCTGCAGATGACAATGAGGGAAGGGGCATCCAAGGGGACACAGCAGCCATCGGGTCTTGGCCAGGCCAGGCAATGGGAGGTGCTCAGGGAATGGGTCCTGCACATTAACACGCCTCTCCTTTTCTTCCTGCAGGCTCTGTGGTCTCCTATGGGCTGACTCAGCCTTCCTCAGTGTCGGTGTCTCTGGGAGAGACGGCCAGGTTGACATGTCAGGGAGACAACATTGGTGGTGAATATGTTCAATGGTTCCAGCAGAAGCCCAACCAGGCCCCTGTGCAGGTCATTTATAAGACTAACCAGCGGCCCTCAGGGATCCCTGACAGGTTCTCAGGCTCCAAATCTGGGAACACGGCCACCCTGACCATCAGCGGGACCCAGGCCGAGGACGAGGCTGACTATTACTGTCAGGTGTGGGAAGGCAGCAATAAACATCCACAGTGACACAGGGCCATGGGGAAGTGAGACACAAACCTCTCCCTGTCTACATCACAGTCTCCTCTAGCCCCGCGTGGATGGAGAAATGGCCATGAGCAGCTCACACCTGGGTCCCATATCTGAGTTCTGTGGGTCCCCGCCCCTCCAGGGAGTGTCAGCACCAGGCAGGTCAGGAGGGTGATACTGGGAGGGTAAGGATAGAAAAACTAGATAGGAGGCACCCCAAGATCAGAAACCTGCTCTCACATGAGACAGAGGTGGAGATGGAAGGTATTAATATATCCATTAACCCAGCTATAGGAACTGAGCTCCTTAGGCACCAAGCCCTAGAACACAAAGCACAAACCCTAAGCAGGTATCAGACTGCTGTAGGGAGTGTCAGGAGCACAGAACCTGAAGGTGAAGATGTGGAGATTGAGGTGATTGTAGAATCTGTGGTCCTTTCAAATACTAAGTAGTTATTCAAAATCAACAGCAAACAAACCAGTCCACAAAGGAGTGAGCCCCCCCAAAGAGGAGACTGTATCAGTGCAGTCTCTGCACAGGCACAGGGCAGCATCCTTCTGCCCACCTGTGCTTCTTCCTGCCAACTCTCTCCCTCTGCAGGGCAGCAGCCTTCCTGCCTGCCCGTGACCTGTACCAGGCCGGGGCTCCTCTTCACTGACCTCCCTCAGCAGAGGCAGCTCTCATCAAGGGCACTTGCTTGTGACCATGCAGGCCTCTCTCGTAGCAAACCCACCTCTTTTAGTGCAGCCCTTTCAGCCTGCTTGTGTCTATAACCATGCCCGTTTTGTTCTCTCCCTTTTATAATAACACATAACTAATGATTCTGTGTCATAGCAAACACATAGGGAAGTGTGCCGTGTGCCAATGAAAGGGGAGCTCTGGTGAAAACTTTCCCAGAGTAACCCAAGGATCCCCTCTCCAAACCCAACAACTCCAAAATGACATCAGAACACAGGACAGGCTGCCATGTGCTTCTTGCCCACAGTAGTTGTGATGGATTGCGGGCCCAGAAGGTACAGAGAAGAGAAAGGGCAGAGAGAACCCTGAGCTGTGCATGATTCCCAAGAGCACTGGGGAGCACAGGTATGTGGGAGGATGAGGATGGGCTAGAGGAATGGCTCCCTGAGGCACAGAAGGAGCTCCCTCACACTCACACACATACACACACACACACACACACACAAACACATCCCATCATAGATGCTTTGGCCCAGTCCAGAGAGGAAAGCTCCTAGTAAGGCATCAGGTTTCCTACCCAGGAGAGCTTTGTCTCAGTAGTGGGATAATGAGTCCAGTCTCACAGCCATCCCTGGGCCTCCTAGAAAGTGTAAAAGGAAGTTGAGCAAAGATTGAACTGTGCCCAGTCATTTTACAGAACAGAGATATATAAAATGCTTAGAAATGAACACAGACCTCCAGTCCCACACACGGACTCATTCACCAAACCTGGCATCAATCAAAACTTTCCTGCAGAGAATTAAGAAAATAAGGATCTAATTAATAAGAAAAATATCAATGATCCCAAATGGCCTTGAAATTGCCCAGCTGCTATAATTTGTAGATAAGGAAACTAAATAAATGATTATGATGATTCCCCTTTGTTCCTGAGAGTAGGGACATAAAAAATATTCAGGCATATTCTACGAATGAGAATCTGAGATTCTAACCCACCATTTCCAAAGCTCAGTAAACAACAAGCACAGTAAATGCTACTAAAGAACAACAGCATTGTTTACAACAGTGGAACAGACAGTGTTAAAAGTCTTCAGAGCTAAGAGGCATTATGGAAGCGGGACAGCATGAGGATGAAGCAGATATCTCATGAGAAGAAATGCAGGTGAGTGGACGGTGATTAACATCTCTAAGACGAAAAAGAAGAAAAGATCTAAAGGTTCACCAAGTTGTTTCATTTTCCATAATGAAAGGACAGGCTTTCCTCATAGCAGAGCAATAAGACAGAAAAGAGTAGTGAACCTCCTCAGGCAGAAGGAATAAAACCAGAGGCCTCCCTGGTGGTGCAAGGGGTTAAGATGCAGCCCTATCAAGCTATCCGCAGCCATTGCAGTTGGAGTTTGATCCCCAGGGAGGGAGCTACACACATGGTGCAGCAGACCCCTCCTGGCTCACCCGCTGCTCCCCTCAGCAGTGTATTTCTGTCAATCTGCCTGTTCTGCTCCCCATTCTGTCTCTGGTGAATCCTCTCCTGCCACCCACCTCTAGCCTGTACCCCCAGTTCTTTTTATGCATAAATAAATAAATCGTAAAAAAAAAAAGAATAATACCAGAGAGAATCTTAATCTTCAAGAAGGAATGAAAAGTATCAGAGGTGGAACTGCAGAGACAAGATGGTAATATTGAAATCTATTGAAAAGAACATCACTCTCTCAATCAAAATGCACTGACCATGTTGGGTGGAATTTATAAAGCTGGTAAAAGTAAAATGTTTGACAATTGAAGCAAAATGAATGAAAAGAAGTGATGGCAACCTGTTCAAGGGTCTAATACTCTGATGTGACATGTAGAATATCACATAATTTAAATTGTGAATTACAATAAGATTATGACAAGTTACAGTTAGTAAGCAAAGTGAAGGGGGAGTAGATAAAGTGGAATCATAACACTAAGCAAAAAGAAGCAGATAAATGAAAAAGCAAAGAAAGAAAAAAAGATGGGAAAACGAAATACCATCGAATGTTTAAGATAATATTATGGCATGTTTGAAAAATACTAAGGTATATTTAAATATATTAATGTCCACTTTCATAGTAAATAATCACAATACCACAATAAGAGCAGAAGTTATCGGTTGAAATGAACTTATATAATATATACGCTTCAGAGAGAAAAGCCACAGTAAATACAAAGATTCAAAAATAAACTCATGCCATTCGCTGCAACGTGGATGGAACTAGAAGGAATTATGCTCAGTGAAATAAGCCAGAAGCAAAAAGAAAAAAAAATATATTCGAGAGGTTCACTTTTAACAGAAATACAGGGGAACCAAATAAGACATCAGTGTAAAAAAATAATAACAGTACAAAACACAATAAAGCAAAAACAGACAATTATAAACCAGAGACATCCTGCAGGGGAGGAGGAGGGAGCGGGATGAGAGGGAGGGAGGGAGGAGCACAGGGGATGAGGTGATGGTGCACAGGTGCATTGGGGAAGGAAACTCTATGGGGACTACACCTGAGGGGGTGGGGGGAAGCAAATATTGTTTAAAAATGAACAATGATGAAAAAAAATAATATAAAATATATTGAATAAAAAAAAAATCTAAGCACCAGTTCAGACTAGGCTGAGGTAGAAACCCTCGGAACATGAACTCTGAGAACGATGGTGAATAAAAACACTGGTTAAATAAATGACTCATGAATAGTGATGGGGTGAGTGCAACTGAGTTTAGGTCAGGAAGCTCCAGGAGGTTATGGTGATGATCAGTCTCCCCATGCTGTGGGGGGAGGCTTCCTCCTGAATCTGAGTAGACACGAAGGCAGAGGCCCCTGGAGCATCACGCAGGTTCCAGAATTTTCAGTTTTGCAAATGAGCAAATATCGCCAGCTAGCACATTTGACCAGTGGGATGTGCTTCAAAAAATTGATGTGATTGCTCCCTGTGCCCCATATTCTATCTAGCTGCACTCTGCCTGGAGGGTCAGGGGATCCCAGCTGGTAGAGGGGAGGGCTGGACTCTGTTCAACACTCTGTCCTTGATGTAGACTCTGGAGAACTTTAAAGGAAGGAAGCTCCTCCAAGGAGCTCTGCCTCAGAAGCAGGGGGCAGCAGAGCACAGCCAGGACAAAGGCTGGGGCTGCCCAGGAGCCTCAGAGGGAAACCTACCTGCCTGCCCAGGGGTCTGGGAACCAGAACAGCTTCAGAGGAACTCAGCACAGCCAGGCCTTCCCCCAGGCTGCAGTGACCACCTTCTAAGGTTCAGAATCACACTGTGCCCCCAGAACACTGGTGGGACCCGCATCCAGGGGTATCACTTGGGAAATGCATCCATAAAACCTGTGTCCAGGGAGCTGACACTCTGTGCTGGCACATCAGGGGCACCCTCACCCCTGCCCTGTGCCTCTCCCTCCTCTGGGTTGTGAGATCGGGCTGCACCTACTTTGCTCAGGTCATGTAGGAGGGGCAGGCACATTACTCCAGGCCTCTGGGCCCAGGAAAGAGGGCTGTTTCCTCACTTCAGAGACCCTCTAGAGATGGAAGTGGATTCTCACTGTTAGGGCAGAATTCCATCAGGGAAGCGGGCTTCACTCAGAGAGGAGGAGGGAACTTCTTTATTTACACCTGTGGGTTTTACACCTGCAGGCCCTGGGAGATCTGTCTCCAAAGTCTGTGCCCTGAGCAGCCAGGTTACAGAACATTTATTGACTCAAGCAAGGGGTACAGTCATCTGGGAATGTTTAAATCACGGTGCGTGTGACCTTGATAGCATTATCAGCTGTTCCGAGAAACTTTTAGCTTACATGTTTTGTCCTGACTTTAACAGATCAGCAGGTCAGTCTGAGATTTCCCACTTCATCACTCTCTGGTCACAGTCTGGTCACAGGCTGCCCTTGCTTATCGTTGGAGGATCAACCTCCCAAGGGATCACCTGGCCATTCAGTCCCCAGAGCTCTTCCCTATGCAAAGACCATGACCCTGGGCAATTTCAGAGACCATAGAGACTAAACAGAGTTTCTTTGCTAGGTCTGCATTTCAAAAGCTTCACATCTCATATAAAACTGTAGTGAAATCCTAGTGTCATTGTCTGTGTTGTGTGAGCTGAAGGACCCAACAAGAAGGACCCAACATCATGTGTAAAATGAGACCAAGCTGTGATCACTCTTCCAAAGGGGAAGGTTGTTTAACAAGGAAACTACCATGCACTCAATAATGGACAAACAGCCAATGACACAGGCCACACACGCATATTCTAATGACAGGCCCAGGATGGGACAAAGTGCATCTGGGGTACACGGGCAGGATGATAGGAGAAGAAAGAAGATGAGGGCGTCTGGGGACCCCAACTGCTAGGTCACTGGAGACTGATATTTCCTCAGGCCCTGCTCAGCCCAGGCCCAGTCTCCTGGAAGTCCCCTGCAGCCTGAGCCAGCCAGGACAGATTAAAGGTGGGGATTAGAGCTGCGTGGGGTCAAGTCAAGGAGGTGACTGTGACTGCAGAGCTTGGAGGCCAACCTGCCTATCTAACATGATGAGCATGTGGAAGAAGCTAAGGCTCACCCATTTTTCCTTAGGCCCCTGTTCTACCCCACAGGTGTTCTCCAACTTAGTGTGGAACCCCACAGAAGGGTAAATTTCTATAATGGCCAAACCTTCCCAACCCACAGGATCCCCGAAGGTAGTAGGAGTGGCTGCTTTGAGCCATCCCAGTAGTAAGCTACCAACACTTTCCTCAAGACAAGGGTCCCTAGTGCTGTCCGTTATAAACACACCTCCCCCATCCTAAACAAGGTGCTGATACTAACTGGTTCTTTATTTCTAAAATTTGTCTTTTCAGGACTGATATGTGACAAAAAATAGAGTCCATGTGTGTGTTGCCTTGGGGACTGGCATTGTCACTCAGCACAAAGCTCCCTAGAGCCCTCTACATGGTTGTGCTGTTAAGAGATCATTCCTAGCTTCGCTGAGTAGGATTCCATGGTCCATGGAACAATGTCGGGTTACCTGTCACCGAGTTCTCAACAGGATATAAATTATATAAATTATAGTCCTTATTTTATTTCATAAAAACATAGTGTGTGCAGATGATGTTGCACAAGAGTGTGAAGACTCCCTCCTGGCTGTGATCTTGGGTAAAGGTCACGCTTCAGGAAATGCCTCTTCAGAGCCCTGGGTGGGGCCTTGTCTCCAGCTGTGTCTGCTCAGCAGGTGAGGCTACTGCCTTTGAAAGGTCACCTCAGGGCCCCTGGATAATGTACAAATGTCAACAGTGCACATTTTACAAAGAAAAACCAGAGATTTCCTGCTTATACTCTACTGACAAGCTCCTATGACAAGCTCCTGACAAGCTCTAAGAGGATTTGTCATTTGTGGGAAGAAATCACAGGCGTTGGTGGAATCATCTGTGACTCAAAGAGGCATCCACACCAATGACAGATTATGACAGCTTCATCTTCTTAGCAGCTACTGGAAAAGGAGCAGGAGATTGAGAAGATTTTCTGTGCTGCATCCCGGGACCTGACAATAATCAGAAATTTCCATGACAAAGTTCATAAAAATACCACTCAAGTGACATCAGTCTGGATAACTTTTTAAATTTTTTTTTGTTTTATATATATTTTTTACATAATTTTCATTTTTGTACAATGTTTACATTTTCATCTTGATTATCATCCCCGTAAAATTCCCACCTCCCTTATTTTGATCCTACTCCCTTCTCCGCCCCTGTAATGTGTCTCTGGTTTATAGTTGCATGTTGATTTTGATTTTCACTTTATTATAATTAGTCTTTTCCCTTGGGTTTCTAATTAGCCCCACAGAGTACTGGGAACAGCCCCCATGCACCTGAGCTGCCCTGGTGCAGAGCAGAAGTGCCCCCACCCCCACCTCAGGCAGCTGGGAAAACATTCAGGGAGAACCTGTCTCCACTACAGGACCCCAGTCTTGGCTGTTTGCCCCCATTTTCCCTTCCCCAACCCTGCCTGATTTTGCTACACACAGAAGAGGGTGTCATTTCTGACCTTAGACAGCCCAGGTCTAGCTCTCTCCAATTCCCCAAAGGTATCCTAGAGAATGTCATTCACCTTCTCTAATTCTTTTCCCTTCCCTGTCAAATGTCCATCAGTGTCAGGTAGAGAGGGCGACGGTCACCTTCTGGGGCCAAGTGAGATGACCCTAGAGCAGAGGCACAGGCAGCACCTTAGTCCCCAGCTGGGTGCCTGGAGATTGAAGTGTAGGGAGGGGGATAGTAACCATTACTTTGCCCTCAGCCCTTAGGTCACCTGGGAGGGGCCCAGGTCTGAATTTATAGGTCACATCTGCCCCACCCAGCAACCTAGACACAGAGGCCCCCTATACCACTGTGCTGGTGCCAGAGATCCTGATGATTACCTGGAAAATCCACCCAGTCTTCTGATAATCACTTGATCCCCCTCCCAAGGTTCTTAGGAGAAAATGTCACAGAGGAAGTGAACTATTTTTGAGTCACAGACACCTGACATCAGACAAACTGTCTTTCACATCAGACAAACCAGAACTTTCCCTGCTACAGAGAAGGAACTCATGGGCTTAATATACAAGTGAACAGTATGACACAGGCTTTAGTAGAAAAAAGAATATATTGTGACTTGACAGGGAAGAAGTATGCAGCAAGGACACATCTGTCTGCCTCAGTGTGGCTCAGATTAATTTGGTGGGAGCAGAAGAAATAAGAAAAAAAGCTTGAATGAAGAAGGTAGAGGTGGGCAGTTTAATGACTAGACACAAATCAGTCCCGGGGTGAAAGGTCTTGTCAAGTTCTGTTTGCACAGTGGCTGACTCTAGATCTGGCTGACTTGGAGTTACCTTCAGGTCAACATGTGGGACATGCTCAGGCTGCGTGATCACCTGCCTCGGCCCCAAAAGCCCCTGAATGGCTCCCAGAGATCCCTGTCCCCATGTCTGGTAACTTGCTCTCCCTGAGGTGGCATTGGGCCCAGGCTGCTGGCACCTCTGGCTTCTGGACAGAGGCTTCCCCTCCCCACCACACATCCTCAAAGCTTCTGCCTTGGCTCTGGCACCCCCAAGTACATCAGGCAAGCAAGTTGCACCTGGCCCCAGATGTCGGGGGCCTAGCAGGGGCAGGACCAACTCAGGGCCCTTTGGTAACAAATTACCTTGAAACAGGAGCTAGACAAGGCCTCTGTGATCTAAGGGGTTGAGGACAAATTAATTGGTTTTACCCCCAGAGGGAGCTGAGTCAGCACTCCAGGAAGGCCCTTCCTGTTCCATCTTCCCACCTGACAGCTGCTCCCAGTGCCCCCTGCAGAGAGGACCCCCACCTCTCACCACATAGCACCTGCCTGTCATTTATCTGTTCTCAATAAATATCTGCAAATCACCAACCACTGAAACAAATCTTCCCTTTCATTATTTGCATTAACTGATGGAGTTCTGTGAATTCTGTTCCAAATACGAAGATATGAAAGGCCTTTTTGAAGTGTAAAATATACACCTGACAAATAACTGCAATACTAACTCTTGTCAGAATATTCTCTCCAGATACTATTTCCTGAGATCCCACCCTTTGTTATGATCTGGTTCTATGTCCCACTTGGTGACCTTGCTTTCATTCATGTTAACAGACCACAGCTTGGCTGCTCCAGCTCCAGCAAAGATACCCACAGCTAGCACAAGGGAGCCACATCAGTCCAGAATCACAATGTCATTGACTAGAACAGATACTTACATGTTTTGGGACAAAGGTAGACCTCACAGTCTTTCTTTCTTTCTTTTTTTTAAATTTAAGTATTTATTTATTTATGCATACAAGACTAGGGGTGTCAGACAGAGTTAAGGAAAGGGGTTGAGAAGAGTCAGCAGACAGATTGGGGAGAGGCACAGGAAAATCAACTGAGATACACTACTGGGTGGAGCAGAAGGTAAGACAGGAGAGGTCTGTACCATGTGGATCAGCTCCCTGACCAGTTGGTGATTGAACTCATTCTGCAGTGGCTGTGGATTGCTTTGTAGTGTTGACACTTAACCACTTGGGCCACCAGGGTGGCCCCTTCATGGTCTTTGTATTCTGGCACTGACAACAGAGTTCAGCTTAGAGATGAAGGACAACACACGGGGAGGATGTGGTGAGAACTATCACTGCATCAGCAACCCATGTGTCAACTGATCTCTCTCTGGCAGGCCATGCCACAGGAACTCAGTTGAAGTGGGCCCCACCCACAGTACAGAAAACCCTAGGAACAGAGATGGTGGGCGCTTATGCCCTATGCCAAGGACAGGAGATATGCAAGAGCAAAGTGGGTGCCGTGGGCATTACTGAGGGATGTTCTTCTGTCTCTTTCTTGGGGGCATCATCACCATGGCCCCATGAAAGCACTGCAGGTGCCATCCCCTGAGTCTCCCCACACCTAAACTTCTTTGTCATCTTATGACTTTCCACTACCTGGTTGTTATGCGCTGGGTGTCTCATGTGGGCACAGCCCCTTCCTCTACCAAATGGTTCTGTTCTAAGTCTGTTTTCAGCTGTGATCCTCTAAAGACCTAATGCCTAGTCTTAGGAAGACAGGGGCCAGATAGAGAGGGTAATAATATTCACCTGTGGGACAGCACTTCATAGATCAGGGAATCTCCTCCTGAATTGAAGCTTCTGAATCCAAATCTGAACAAAGGAAACCTCTGTGCCTGCTGCACCCAGTGCACAGAGCCACCAGGGGGCAGCAGAGAGCCACCCACAGCAGGTTAAAGCCTCCCTGCAGCTTGTGCCTGGGGAGAGTCAGTCACCAGGAGCTAACAACTGAGTGAACAGGGTCATTTGTCTGCAATGTTTCTCTTGACAATGATGTCCAAATTTCAGACTCCACAGCCCCCGACCTGAGGCTCGTAGAAATTGGCTTGTTTCTCTGGCTCTTTTTCCAACATTTCCATACCTTCACACACAGCCCAGTCCGGCTAAAGTGGCCTCACTGTCCAGGCCCTGGATGAGTGCCTGGACACAGCAGGTGTCTGATAAACCTATGTTGACTTGCATACAAAAGAAGACAGCTTGTTACTAAATACCTCACCTCATCAACAGAACACAATTAGAGTGAACTCACAGAGGCACTGCTCTTAGAGTCCTTCCCAGTCCTCACTCTCATGCAGCATTACTGGATCCTGTGAAGTCTATGTGACCTGAGTGCACACGGAGGGTACTGAGGCACAGCCCCTGGGACTGTCCCAGTAGCTCAAAGTCGAAGAAATGACAGGCCTCAAAACTCCTGGGTGGGCAAGTGAGGGATTTTATGCAGAATCTGCTGCTCAGAAGCTGTGAGGACAGGGGAGGATCTGGACCTACCTAGGCTGGGTTTGTTACCTGTAGAACAGGATCAGAACACACAGGCTTCCATGGAATCTGCTGTAGAAGGGCCTGTCCAGAGAGAGGCCAGGATAGAGTCTAGGGGAGGAGATTCAAGCAGACCATGAGACCTACAGAGAAGGAGGATCCCTGAGGTGAGGTGAGGACTCTAGAAAATACCCCTCCCCTCCCTGCTGCTCCCCAAGCAGCAGCCTGGGCCTGGCTGATTTGCATACCCAGCATCTCTCTCTCAGCAAGGGGATAAGACAGGCTTGGAGTGTGTCCTGCCCAGCCTCAGCCTCAGGGAACATGATCAGGGACACCACCATGGCCTGGACCCCAATTCTCCTGGGCCTCCTGGCTCACTGCACAGGTGCTGAGCCAGACTCACTGCACCCCAACCCCTGGGCTCTTGGACAAGACTGGTTCTGAGTATGAGGCAGCCCTAGCAGGGCTATCTGTGGGGGTAGGGTGCTCATGATCTGCTCAGGATGGGGGACTGGATTGGGTAGACCCTCAT